CTCAACATCCTACGTGACATATCAAGCGTACGCTTGTATACCCGTCATAAACTATTGCTCCATTAAGTATTGCGCCACAATAGCTGAGATGCCTTCCACGTCTAGCTAACGTGTATAGTGATGACGATGGCACTGTGTTATTACTCGTCAGTGTCACACACGTGCAGGGTCTCCAAATTTGGCCGTGCTCTATATTCCACTCGCAAGGAATTATGAACACTCGCGCCTACAACAGTATCAGTTTAGAACCTGTTGTTTTACTCACCAACTGCTCTACCTAGGACGAGTGTGATGATTATGTACTCATGTGAAAATTTGCAAGCGTTCTGCGTTTCCGGGCAAGTGAAGGGCACAGTTAGATTTATCTGAAGCAGTGTGAGAAAAATCTACAATATAATTTTGTAAAGTAGCCTCGTGCTGGATAGAGGGTTGCTCTACGGAAGCAAAATTGTCGAGTTCGAACATACCTGTTTTTTTCAGCATCAACAACCGCTCCATTCTTGGAAAATGGAAGATTTTAAAAGCAACATCAGCTGTCGCGAATACGTGCAGCTAGAAGTAATTATGCTGTAGGAAACCTGGCTTCACAAATATATTGAAGAAGCTACTGTAGCACTTGATGGTTTTATTTTGAACCGTGCTGATCACGGATGCACGTTCCGCAACCGGGGGCGGTGGTGGTATCACCTTGATTAACGCTTCCTGGTACTTATCGGTGAAGTAATGTTCTGCTATTCGTCGCAAAGTATCGATTGCCTACTTCTAAATTGTATGATAAATTCCTGAGTGAATACAGCTCAATCATGTTAGCCAAATTTTATATATATCCCCGTAGTTGTCCAAGCTCAAAAGCAGGAAAATTTTACGGTGACTTCACGTCTGCTGTCATTTTGCATATTGACCGTTCCCTATACATATTTTTTGGTGATATCTATAGGTTTGACACCACATTTCACATAGCACTTGGACTACACAACATTGTAAAATGTCCAACCAAGTTAGACGCAACCCCGGATTTCGCGTTTGTTAACAACCTGAAAATTTTTTCAGTCAGTACCCAGGCACTACTTGGAAGCTCTGATCATTTGATAGCCAAGCTATCTCCAGTCGTCTACAGCAAGACAAGTCACAAGGAAGTCAACGGCTGCAAAGAACGTAAAATAAACATCAACAAGCCAATCCTACTAATATACCACAACTGAAAAAAGTGGTTGCCTCCATAGATTTCAGTCTGTTTTTCGATGCCGATGTCTCAACATATTGTGACCGGATGACAAGTTATCTGAACTTATCTTTTGATCTTTTCTGTCCTATGGAAACTATTCTCAATCGTGCTGACGGGTTCTCGTCACCACTCCTCAAGTAGATACATCGACTTAAGGAGAGAACCTTCAAAGTTAAAGATCGTGCCTCAGTGAAGTTTATTTCTCTACGCATCAGGGAAGAATTTCATCGCCTCAATCATGTCTACGTTCCGACAATTCTGGGGAACAATAATTGCCGTGAGCTTTGGCAGCTGAGGAAACAATTTAGTGGATTTGCTCGTCATAGTACGAACTCTGACATAGACGTGGAAGAATTAACTCGTAAGTTCTGCTGCTCCAGCAGTGACTGACTCCCCAACTCGTCCATTGCACAGATTTAGTCGGTCAAACTAAAGCAAATCAAGCGGACGTGACCGGTTGTCTCCCTTCGTCCTTAAGCAATGTGCAGATCCACTAGCCCAATCGCTAGCTGAGTTGGACACCATGTGCCTAAACCAAGGCAAGATCACATGTTGTTGGGGAGCTGCTAGCATAACACCAATACCGAAGAAAGCGACAGGTAAATATCGACTTATTGCATGCACTTCGGTGGTTTTAATGGTCTACGAGAAATTCCTACATGAAAAATTGTTAACCCAATCCCGTCTGAATTACTCACATCAGTTTGCATACGGAAGGTCGAGGTCGACACAAGACGCAGTGGCTTGTCTAATGCTGTAAGTGCTATCGTCGCTAGACAGCAAGAAGAAGCCACAAGCGTATGCTTCCTTGACTATACCAAAGCCTTCGGTTGTGTTAATCATGTGAACTTGTTGCAAGATCTCCTGGTTTCTGGTATCCAACCATCCATAGCCTTCATCCTACAGGATTATTTTGCCAAACCTACTAAGCCAACCACGTTCAACGGCAGGAGCTCCTTACCTCACCTTACCACTAGTTCCGGTGTCCTTCAAGTAGCCATTTTGTCGTTATTCTTATTCCGTAACTACGTTGCCTCCATCCCTGTCTCTGAAGAAGCCATAATGCTAAAATACATTGACGACGTACTAATCATTGCGAATCATCTAACTTTAGCCTCATCGACCTTGCTACAATGTTGTTTGGATGAAATCATGCTTTGCTCAAACTTCAGCAGTTTAACGATGAATGCTTTCAAGTGCAAGGAGGTAGTGCTTACGGTGCGTAAGGCAGACCGTTAGCAGAAACTCGTCGCTGCCTGTTCTCAACTCCGCATCAGTGGTGAAAGCCTGAGTTTCTGGATGTCAGTGAAGTACCTGGGAAACACATTGAGCCAAGATTTAGTATGGTCAATTCACTTGAATGCAGTATTAATTAAACTCATGCGACTGTCGTTTTATGTCTCACGTTGTCGTTCGTCCTCAGTCTCCTACCAGTTGATACTGTGCTTAATCCTTGCATGTGTTCTACCAAACTGAACCTATTATTCTCCTGTGATCTTCCCGGGCCTAATTGGGTAAGCATTTCAAACTACTTCATAGATGGCTGAAACACATATCGCGATGTAGTAGCATTTCTAAACCAACCTTAGTTCAACACCTTGTAGCTATTCACGTTAATTCATGCACAGAACTTGCTTCGACAATACTCACTGATATCAACCATCTTTTAGCGTTGTCTCCAACTGCACATCTAATGCCTTAACAAGACGAAACTACAGAGCCATATATGCCCCTCACACAAGCCTACTGTTCATCTTTCATACCTTATCTAGCTAGATTTCTGCTTGATCCAAATATTGTCATTCAAGAACTAAACAGCAAATTATGTTGGTGATCCTGTACCACACATGAAACATTGCCTTAGCTGTTGAGTCTTTGCCGTTATTGCATATATCAAATTGTTTTTCTGCACAGTTTCGCTCGCTCGTGTTACAACTGAAAATTCACCATTCATGGGTGCATAAAAGCGAATTCTTGACGTGGCGTTTGTCACTGTCGTTTTGCACGTTGTATGCACGTTGTATGAACTCGGTTGCAAGCACCCGATAGGGTCTAACGCCACATCATATTCCACAAACATTATCCGTCTAACTGCAATCCCCTAGGAACAGTTTCGTAAGCATTTCTTGTCTTGACAACGTTGGGGACGACACAGTGGGAGCCAGCTAGGATTCGTTGATATTTGTGCTCTCGCAGCATCCCTACCTTGTACAGTCCACACTAGACTCTACTAGACAGTGTGTGTGTGTGTGTGTGTGTGTGTGTGTGTGTGCGTGTCCGTGTGTGTGTGTGTGTGTGTGTGTGTGTGTGAGAAAGTCTACCAATCCACCACCATGTGACTTCCGAAGCTCAGTGTAGGTACTACTAACCACTGCTTTCCGCCAGCCCCAATGAGGTGATCAGAGACGCGTACATTTATTAGGCTTGGAGTTCCTCCATTACGAAAAGAAACACGTCTCTTTTAATGATGCGGAGCTATTTGGACTGCATCGTAAAGCTTTCTCGCTAGCGAGGCAGACGCAAGGAGTGCTCCATTGGGCTGTGTTACATCAGGTTCGGAGAGCCTTGTTACTGAGTATAAGTGTGAGTAAGAACTTGTTCTGATTTGTGCACGTGGCAGTTTTTTGGGGATAACTCGTGGAAAGCAAGTATGAAGAGCACGTTGTAGTACAGTCCCTTCAATAAACTTGTTTTGGTGCTCCAATTGTGATGGCTCGGTCACGTCCTACGCATAGCACCTGAGCGTCTACCGCGTCGCGCTCTATTCGCTCGTCAAGCACCTGGCCGGAGGCGACCGCATGGTAGTCAGCTTTCTACATGGCGACTGCACATGAAATCGCTGATGTCGTGTCTATCCGCTGTTCTACCCGTACGTCTTGCAGGATGGGGACCTAAAGATGAGGAGTACCAATGGCTTAAGACTCTTGAAGACATGGCCCGCAACCGGAATCAGTGAAAGAATTGTGTACAGTATTGCACTGATTCACATGTTTAATACTTCAAACGTTGAAAATGACAAAAAGGAGAAAAATCGGCGTGTGAAAAACAAACTAAAAATGTTTTGTTTTACTTTTTGTCAAAATGTTCTTTTTTTCCTGCGGCATAGTACCGAAGTGTGTTGCTCACGGTCAATTACTACACCACGATGATTTTGACTCGATGACTCTCCCTTATCCTTTGATCTCCATGGTTTTCTGTTGGCTCTTTGTCCAGTTGTTAGACTGCTGAGATCACACACACGCACACACACAAGTACGAAGAGGTCCATCACAACTAGCCTCTTTCATGCATCTTAAGAGGAGCTCGAGAGCTAACACTTCCTTCAACAGACTCCTAAGCTCTCACTAGGATGACTGCGTGACCCTAGAGTGATAAACCATGGCAGCAATTTGATAGACGTGCAACAAGAATGGACAAAATTGGCAAGCAGTTTTTGGAGGATTTCTAGTACTACTCGTTAAAAAGCAGTAGTTGACTAAAAGTCATAATCTCAGTTGGATGTTCGAAGAAGCAACGATGCCACTGGGAACCACCGAGCGTTCCACACGGCAGTAACACGAATGGCAGAGCCAGTTGAACCATAACACAACTGGCCAGATTCTTAATTGTCACAAACTTTGAGTGTTGGCTGGCCGTTCTGGTGAAACGAGACGTAGCATTCTGAGCTAGATGGACATGCAAAACAAACACCGAGAGTGTCTATGAATTTGCCAACTATTTCCATGACTCTTAATCTTGTAACCAGTTGTAGATAAATTGTTTTGTATTATTTCAGATTAAATCAGATGCCAGTAAGCCGTTCAACGAATTCATCGGGGGACCAGAGGTAAAAAATGTGAGTCAACGTGGTGATTCAAGTTCCTCCTTATGCCATGTCCTGTATTGTCTTCTACGCCTTCAGCCGGATTATGATGCTTGTTACAGCTAGTTAAGGTCTTCCGACTGTTCCCCAGCAGTCCTATGAGATATGACCGAGTATCCCTGGCGCTCCGCCTTGAGTTTCATATATGTGACTATCAAAAAGTACTGAAAAATACGATTTGGCTACTGACTTTGCAACCACCTAGGAGTACAGGCTGTGCTATCTAGGTTTGACCTACGGATCACCACAATTCTGGCTCCCTCACATACATGGAAGTTACCTTCGATTCAGGTATCCTGCTGCCCTGTACTTACAGTAGCAAATAAAATATGGCAACACTTCACACAGTGGAATTCCTCTCTCTCTTTCTTTCTCTCTCTCTCTCTCTCTCTCTCTCTCTCTCTCTCTCTATATATATATATATATATATATATATATATATATATATATATATATATATATATATATATATATATATATATATATATATATATACTCATGGCATACGTACTCATCAGTGAGGTCCCCAATCCGCTAATGGTCATAGTATCTAGTCTCGATGGCATCCACGAAGGATACAGGTAAATAGTTACATAACATTTATTTTCCGGATAGGTAGTTGGCTTATCTGAATTGTCGGCTGACTGCGACGAACAAAAATATTTATTTTGATGTATGTGGACGTTATGTACAAAGAGTTGGATGGCGCTTTGGTTTTTCAGTGTCGACTCCTGTTGATGCGGTTTGAAACCAGTGGTATTTTCCTAATCGGTGGAACCAATTCGGTTCCTCACAGGTTTTTCTCTTATATCAATGATGTTCGTTTGTATGAGTATTGTAGCCATTTGGCGAACAGCAGTTAAATAGAAACAGGTAAAGCGTTCAATACAACAGCAGGGCATATTCAGAAATCCTTAACTCTAGAACACTAACAAAATATGCATAGAGAACATATTATGAATGTTGCATCTACATGGTGAAGAAATGTGGTAGTTTCGTCGACAATAGTAATTGACTACGTCTAAATGATGAACTCGGAGAATGTTATTAGGACTGAGTTCCAGGAGTAGGTGTAAATGAGAGTTGGGCTCTTCGTGACTCGGTAAAGCTTTCCGAGGTCCACTCTAAGGCACCGACACGGACTACTGTACATTCAGATGGATTTTCTTCTCAGTCGGTGTAGCACATTCTTAGATGCCGGCCGTTGTGGATTCCCGACTGTAGCGCAGTCTCTGCAAATGCTGCCTTGCGTGGACACTGTTTTTAGGTGGGGTTGCACGTACGAATTAAAATGTGTGGAACAGCGCCCTAAAACGGAAGAAATGCTCTGTACAAAAATGCTGACAGGTTGCTTGGCTTTTTCCGATACCTTTTCAGACTGTTTGGAGCAACCGATATCAAAATGAGCCTGTATCGTGAGGTCGCGCCAATGCGATAACTGCTTCCAGTTACGCCTCTGTGGCATCCGAATTGCATGCACTGCGAGTCGCATAATGATGGACCACGTACAATGGAACAATGGTTTATTACGGGTAAAAAAGCATCGCTTAACAAGTCCCGTGGGATGGAAATTGTTGCGAAAAACAATTGCATAATAAAGTGAAAAGCGTTGTGGTGGACTCACCATAGACTTATGTGGAATAGCGGAGATGTTCGCGTATCAAACGTATAAATCCAGCAATCCATTGGTTAGGCGTTTGCCAAGACACCGTTTGATTGCGTTTTGTAGCCCCTGGCTAACAAGTCATAAAATGAAATGCAAGTGAGACAATTTATCGTCAACACTTTTTATCAATATCGCCAGATTGGGAGCAGAGACGACATTATTAGGGAGGGCGTTCCAAGGCTGGCCCACGCGGAGAGAAAAGAAATTTCTGCGGCATTCAAGCCGGCTATAATGAATTGTCAGTTTCAGAGGGTGACCTCTTAGTTTAGTGTTGTGGTTCAATTCCAGCAGTGGACGGCAAATGTGGTTTGGGTTCTTCAGAATCTGGTAAACCGTTATGAGATCCCCTCACAAAAGCCGATATCGACTGCTGTACATTCTTAGAGATTTCATTCTAAGCTGATAGGGCAGATGAAAGAGGCCCCTGACGTTCTTGGTTGCCCGTCGTTGAGGAGTCGCGAGAGCAACGAGATCCAGTTTCTGCGACGGCTGCCACTCCTGAATAGCATATTTCACTTGAGGTCGCACGTAGGCACTAAGCATTTGGGGAAATATTGAGGGTTCAAACCGACCGAAGGATCTGCGAAGATGGCCGAAGTGTTGATTTCCGGTTCTCCTCGCCTTCTCTGCTTGTTTTGAACACCCGAGATCTTCCTGTACCAATACATCCAGGTCACGCTCCTCTGAAACTTTCGCCAAGGTGTCGTCTCCAATCTTGTAAGCGCTCACCGGCTGGTGACGCAGATGTAGCACTTTGCACTTAGCCATATTTAATTGAAGCTTGTTCCTCTTTGACCATTCGTAAATGCAACCTAGGTCAGGTTGGAGTAGATCCTGATCTAGCTTGTTACTAATCGCCCGCCATATCTTGACGTCATTGGCGAAAATCAGGAAGTTTGAGGAGATGACTCTTGCCAGGTCGTTGATAAACACCAGGAATAAACGCGGTCCCAGCACTGAGCCTTGTGGGACACCATATTCCACCTCAATTGGGTTAGAAAGTGATCCCCTAACATGTACTTGAAGCTTTCGTTGGTAAAGGAAGTTGCCAATCCAACCACGTACAGGATCTCCGATTCCGTAACTTTGTAGTCTTTGAAGTAGGATGCGGTGATCAAGGCAGTCGAAAGCTTTGGAGAAGTCCAAATAGATGAAGTCAACTCCGACCCCCATCATCGGGCACTTCCGTCCAACTACCTCGTGCAATCAGTAGGTTGGTGGTGCATGACCGGTGTTGACGGAAGCCATGCTGTTCCGGTACCAAACTGTTGCATTTTTCCAGGTAGTCCATTAAATCCTCAGCGACGACTGCTTCCATCACCTTCGCGAGCACAGGGAGGAGAGTCACTGGACGATAGTTTGCAGGATCGGAACGGCTACCGCCTTTAAAAATAGGGTTTATAATGCCACACTTCCACATAGTGGGGACTTGTTGTTCATCAAAGCATCTTTGAAATAACTGTGACAGTGGTTCAGCTAGCTTGGTGGCCGTAGCCTTCAGTGCCTTCGGGCAGATGTTGTCTGCTCCTGGAGAACTATGCTCACGCAGTGAGAGTAACTTCCTTAGCACAACTGATGGGTTGAAAATAACTTTTGTAAACAAAGGTGTCCGTAATGAGCTTGATATTATGGGACAGGTAGATGTTGCGAGTTCAAAAATTGGGGCGCATTGCAGCCGCAGGGCATTAGCTGCTTCTTCGGTGCTTTGTACTCTACCGCTTGTCGTGAATAGTGGGGGTATTCCATGCTTCACTTTACGAAGCTTATTGACATGCTTATACAGCAGTTTGTTGTTTGCCATGAACTTTTTGGCTAGGCACTGTTGATAAGTTACTTTGTCCTCACGGACAAGTGCAGTGCAATGGTTGCGATGGGTCAGGAAATTTTCCCAATTCTCTGAGTCGGGGTTAATCTTGTAGGCTCGCCATGCTGCATCTCTTATCGCCAGGCATTTGCGAGTCCTACTCCTTAGAATTGAAGGCATTTTTGCGGGAGTAAGGGGTTTGGTCTCTGATGCTTTGTTGACCATGTCGCTGAGTTTATTAACGAACTCTGCCCAAACGTTGTCAAGGGGACTTTTGTTTGAGAATTCCCAAGCAGCTGCGTCGGCGAATTCTTTCAATACGTGGTAGCGTGTGATTGTATGAGTTAGTTCCGAGTGTTCAGATGGATACTCTGCATAACACACTTAGTCAAAAGTTATTACTACATGGTCACTGAGACCTAATGGACTATCCATCAAGAACTTGTCAATCATGAGCTCTTCATTTGTGAGCACAAGGTTCAATATGGACGGTTTGTTTGCTGTTCTGAATCTAGTGGGCGTGGTGACATGATTGTAGCTGCGTATCCGAGCCTGATTCGTTTCCTAGCTTTCGTAACGATCTGTTGGGTTGGAATGCCGCAACTGTGTCACAAATATTTCACATAAATCAACAAATCGAATCGTTGGATTTTGGAGAACCCGTATTGTGTGTAGATTGTCACACTCAGTCCAGAGCAAAACCGAAAGCTTAAAAATCAACGCGTTGTTTCCACAGCATAGAGGTAACGAGATTGTCCCGTAATCTTGCGGCGCGGGTTCGAAGCCGCGTAGGAGTGGGCGTCCTCGCGGCATACTCAGTCCGCTTGCGACTGTTGGTGGTCGTACGGCAGCGAAGCATTGTTACGGCGTGCAGCTGTCGAACGATCAGGAGCAGGAGCTGATTATTCGTGATGCCAGTAAATACATGATGAATTTATCTAATATCCAGCTTAACCCCTTGCAACTAAAGGCGCTGTCATTTGGAATCGATTACAAAGTCCTGCCTAGAAGATCAGATGGGTTATTCCTTGATGGCCAAGTTGATAACTTTTATGATCAATTCAAGGAGGTTCAATCTACCGACCCTGAAAAACAGACCTGGTTTAGGAACAAGTTAACTGATATCGCCTACGAGATAAAAACAGCGCCTATAAATGCAAAAATATGCGCTCACAAGCCGGCATCTTCAAGCGCTACATGAACTACGTGCTAAAGTTTTGGTTGTAATGAAACCGGATAGGAGTACGGTAGTGTTAGTAATGAACAAGCCCGATTACATGCAAAAATGGGTATAATACTCACCGGCTCAAACAAAGTTTATATCGAATTACGTTTCAAGTGTGATATCGCCAGGTTAAGGACCACTAAGCGCCTGATCGCTACTGCGCATAGGACCTACTATGCTGCTCAGATTATCATCATTATCATCATCAACAGAAGCAGAAAGTTGCCAGTACCTCATCCGTAGGAAGCTCTGCTAATCGGCACCAGTTCTCATTGTGT